CTAAACCCTATACCCTAAACCCTCACTGGGCTGGAGCCTGCGCTGCAGCCTGGCGAACGGCCTCCTCCCGAGCTTGTGCTTCTCGAAGAGCGGCCGCTTTGGCCAGGGCCTCTGCCTGTTTTAGTAGGGTAGGGTTTAGGGTTTAGGGTTTAGGGCTTAGGGTTTAGGGTTTAGGGTTTAGGGGTTTAGGGTTTAGGGTTTAGGGTTTGGGTTTAGGCTGTTTTGGGATCTAGGTGGCTTGTACAGAGTTCTATGGTGGCTTCTACAGAGTTCTATGGGGAATTGCACAGAGGAGCCGCTCCAGCTAGAAGACAAAAGCATGCACACACTTGTAGTTACCCTGGTCCCGCTGCGTGTTGCTATTCTGCTGTTGAGTATAACCGTCTTGTTTGCATATGTATGTATGCCTGTACGTACATATGTATTTGTGTATGCATGCATGCGTACACGTAGGCATACATACATGCATGCATGCACATGTGTATACATGTGTTTACATACACGCATCGAGATACCTGTAGATGGATCGCCATTTTGTGGTGTGATGTCTCTTGCTGCTGTTGCCATTTTGCAGAAACAAAGATATACACATCGATTCACGCTCGCACGCACACAGATGTGAACAATTCGCGTAAATCAACACGATAAACGAGTGTATATGTCTGAATATGCAGCAGATTTGCTATGTACGTATGTACGGATACAATGAAAAGGGGATGCCGATAATGCAGAGTGGCAGAGAAGCTAAACGACAAATATCACCGGTCGAGACTGCTCACTTCACTTAGCTAGAGTCATGGGGAAAGCGCAAAATGCAACTGACGGAAGGGGATCAGTGTGACATGTCTCGCTCCCCTGAGCATTCCCTGCCAAAGAACGAACGACAGCTGCAGCCGGACACATGACGCCACAGTTTGCAACAGGGCAAGAAGTACTAGGCCAAAAGATCAATCCGCTGCTTGAAGAGGTAGCGGCAAACGGCAACGCTGGAGCACAGCCCCGGCAAACAAAGCTGGAGTCCAGATGCTATGTTGCAGCCTCAATGGACTCCCGCCTGGGCCTTTTCGTAGGCTTGAGCAGCAGCGGCCGCAGCAGCGGCTTGAGCAGCTTGAGGCGCTTGTTGAGGCTGCGGGCTTGCCTGAGCAGTAGCTCTTCTACCCTCAGCCCAGGTCCACGCCAGGACAGGGCAGCGCAGTACTGTGCGCCGGGCCAGGACGGGGAGCGTGGAGAAGGCCTCCTTAGTATCCAGTGGCGCTGGAAAAAAGAATTGAAACTAAAGCAAGTGAGCGTCTGAGCCTGAATCAGAGCGCACCGACTAACCCGAACCTGACGCCACAAAGAGCAAATCTCACTGGTTGCGGATCAGTGGCCGTTGGCGGTGGATAGAGCTTCTGCAGAGGCTGAAAGTCGTTGTTGCGAAACCTCGCTTTCGCGCTACCCACTACTGACATCAGCCCTGCCCAACACCTGGGCTAACAGCAGGCTTGAGAGATGACTTTACGAGACTTGTGCAAGACCGGTCATGCCAATGAAGGCCCTCCTCCCCTTGCTGGGGGCCTGATGGGTAGATCGTGTGCGAAGTATCCGGCCTCGCGGAACTCAAGAAACTGCAAGCTGATCCCATGAAAGACGATTCTCTCAGGTTCCGAAGTGGACCGCCAGGTTTGTAGCAAAGACAATACATCTCGGAGCTACCGATCTCACAAGACATCGCCGCTGAGCTCCTGAAATCCTTGTCGCCTAAACCAAAGCCGAGCCAAGATCCAATGGCCTGGCTCCAATGTTCCATTTGGGACGTCTGGAACGGACCCTGCGCAGGGCGCGGGGATCCGGACTCTTCTTGCAGATGGGCGCCAGATTGATGGCCATAGTCACTATCCATTATTATTGTTATTATTATTATTACTATTACTATTATTATTCTTATTCTTATCATTATTATTATCTTTTTTACTATTATTATTATTAGTATTACTATTATTACTATTATTATTATTAGTATTACTATTATTAATTTTTATTATTCTTAATATTATTCTTATTATTATTCTTATTCTCATTATATATATATATATATAGATAGATAGATAGATATATATATATATATATATCGTCTGTGGGCCTCGCTGTACGATCCGACCCGTCACTCCCCAACCTGACCTACATGCTTTGCAGCTGATACCGTGCCTGGGTCTTGCCCGTGGGATCCTTGTAGTACCAGCACCGGTCGTTCTTGAAGGCCTCCCGGTCCTGGTGGCACTCTCAGGGTGTTGAACCATTACAACTCAGGGGTATGGATTGACCCTAATTCTTTGCGTTTTGACGGTCAGGCTTCGGAATGGTCAGTTGATATCAATTGGTACGGTTGATGATATAAATCCTGCATTACCCATAAGAAGGAATATACCATCATTCCCATAGTTTGGGGTTCTTTTGATGTAATGCAGGATTTATATCATCAACAGAATGAACCTAGTTCATCCTCAACCAGAGACTATAGGTCGCAGCTTCCCACAGACCCGAGCCTCTGCCATGCGCGCCGCCTCCGCCGCCTGCAAGCGCGGGTGCGGAACCGGCTCGGGCGCAGGCTCCCGCAAGTGCCTGGCGAAAGAAAGGGCCGCACTTGCGACAGTTGCGGAGGGCGTACCCATAGGCCCCTAAGTGGTTCCTTTTCTATGGTTTATATTCAGAATCCTATAAGGTAATCCCAAAAAGGAACTACTTAGGGGCCTATTGGTAGGCACCCCGATAACTGCCCACGTACCGGACAGAGCCTCTGTGGCTGTTTTACTGAAGGATCCAGCATCCTGAATGTCATGTAGCTGGAGAAGTATTTTCATGGCTGTTCTCACCTGGAAGAAGCTCGTTTCAAGAAGCATTTTCCAACCCCTCCTCAACACCATGTGAAGCTCCGAAAGTCGTGCATCTTCACTCCCGGAATCCCAGAGTGCTCATCATTGTGCCTCCTCTCCTTCTTCTTCCCATCAGATATATGGATGGGTACTGATACTACATACTACTGCTCTGGTTAGGTACAGCCAGTTTGTACCGCTTACCAGGATCAGTGTCGATACGACTGGTACAGTACGAGTTGCCTGTTCAGCCACCGACGCCGGATGGTCTTCACACCGTCTCAGCACAAAGACGCACGATCATCCTCAGCCCAAACCCACAACCCCTCAAACACCAAACCTAATCCCTCAAAAGCCAAACCCCCAATTACCCCAAACCCGCCTGAAACCTCCCTAAACCCTAAACCCTAAACTCTAAATCCTAAGCCAAACCCCCAACTACCCTAAACCCTGAAACCTTTCAGACCTCCGGGGGCCCCGACATCTCATCGGGACGTACCTTCGGAGCCTGGCCCATCTCGGGCGCCTCTGTGGGGGCTTGCTTGGTTTTGGGGCCTTGGGGTTCAAAGCTTAGGCTTTTGAAGGGGTCTAGGCATTTATATGTGTGTTCAGGGTCTAGGATTGAAAGGAATTTGGGACTTAAGATTTCGGATTTAAATGTTCAGGGTATGGGATTCACGGATCGAGGTTCAAGGCTTCGCGCTGAGTGATCTGGATTCAAAGGCTTGCAGAAGGGAGTTTGCCTTTCACGGCCTGGGAGTAAATTATCAGCAATGATTCCAACACACATGCACCACATGGTAAAATGTGCAGAGTACCAAGCGTCCTCGCAGATAAATTATCAACACACACACACACAGAGACAGAGGTGCTTCGCTGGACACCGGCCTGGAGGAAGGCCAAAAGAAACCCAAAGAACAGGCCCATTCCCATCCCATTCCCCGTTCTCAACCAGAAACTTAAAGCCACTTAAAGTCACACAGATACTCCAATACACAAACCACACAGTGAGGTTTAAACACAATGACACTCCAATGCACGTACTGTAATATACTATATACTATATTACACTCATTTGGATTATTACATGATTTCGTTTTCTATTCTATGAAACTACATTATATAAGTGTGATTAATGTTCTATGCATTATATAATACTACATAGTACTATATAATACTTTATATTATATTAATATGCTATATTATGTTATGTTATACTATAATTATATTCGATCGTATTATGTTATATTATATTATGTTGTGTTACAATACATTATATTATTTACACGGTCATATGTTGTGTTCTGTTTTATTTGCACTCATTTCAATGTGTACATAGTATATATATATATATAGAAATTCTAGATTTATCAACACTCTTATAATCATGTATACCGAATAAACACATTCATAACTTATGAATACATGCATACATACATAGTGTGCATGTATGTATGTATATATATATATATACACATACACACTCCCTCTCTCTCGCTCTATCTATCTATCTGTCTGTCTGTCTATCTATCTATCTATCTATTTATAGGTATACATATATATATATATGCATGGACATACACACATACAAGAAAGACAACAAAACAAGGCACAGCCTGGCGCGGCGGAGGCGCAGTGACGCGCCCCGGCTGCAAGGCCTGAGCCTGCCAAGGGATTTCTTCTGTTGGGGAGTCGAGAGACACCGCTACTCATAGACAACTATAAATATAAATATGAATATATGAATACAAACACATATGTATGTATGTATGTATGCATGTATGTATGCATGTATGTGTATGTCGGTTGCCATTGTTGCTACGTCTCTTGTGTCCGCGACTGCTGACAGGAATCCCGGAGGTTGTTGACAACCATTTTGATCATCATCAACGCATTCTTATACGAGGGCGTGGGTTCCGCGAATTGCAGCTTATGCCTGCACCGGCTTTCAGCTGAAACTTGCGGAATGCTTCACCCGGGGCTCAACTCAACTTCAGGCTTAAAAGAACGGCACCAGTGCTTCATCGAAGGTCGAGTCGGACGCCAAGATCTCACACTGGCATCCAGTTTGAGTGTTTAGGGGTGTAGGCTCAGGTATTCTGGGGTCAAGACTTTAGGGATGTATGATTTCTGGTTACACCAGGACATGTGCCTGCTGTGCCGCAGCTGGCACACCAATCTCACCTGAGACGGCGCCTGCCAATAGTGCGAGAGCAAGAGAGGATACTGTATTGTAAGCTCAGAAGGAAATTACGACGATGACTATGCCTACGACTACTGCTACTTATGCTGCTGCTGCTGCTGTTGCTGCTGCTGCTCCTGCTGCTACTGCTACTGTTACTGCTACTGCTACAGCTACTGCTACAGCTACTGCTACTCCTACGGCTACTGCTGCAGCTACGGCTGCTGCTACTGCTACCGCTACCACTACCACTACTGCTACTATCAACTGACGCCTCCTCCTCCTCTTCCAGCTTCTCGTCTTGTTCGCTATTCATGCTGCTATTATAGCTGAGCTGATGTCTGTGAGCGATATGTTGCTGTTTTTGACACTGACAAGATCATGGCACCTAATTCCCGATGGGAGATGGTAGGATGGCCAAAAATCTGACCAATGGATGGCGATGCTGTACAACAAATGCTTAGGGGCTGAGTATCCTAGCCCAATCAAGGTTACTTAACCTTTCAAATTGTAGCCCCAAAAGGTTAAAGGTTACCAACTCAGCTGCTAAGAATGACATCAAACCCCTAAACCCTAAACCCCAAACACCCCAAACCCCAAAAACCCTAAACCCCAAACCCCTACAACAAAGGACATCAATGACCGCAACTCCTTCGCTCGCAAGGTGGCCTCCGAGAAGGTCTCTGCTGCGTGTCGGCGGGGACGGCGCCTCGGGCAGTGGAAATGAAGCAGAAAAATATATAATATAATATATAATATATAATATATAATATATAATATATAATATATAATATACAATATATAATATATAATATACAATATACAACATATGATATATAATATATACTATATA